ATATATATATATATATATATATATATATAAAGTCTGGTTCAAATGTTAACCAAGTTTATTGTATTAGCTTTGTTAACTATTTTCAACCAATAACAATCTATCTTATATATAGGTTCATATTAGTCTTATAATTTAATGACAAAGGTAAATATGTAATTTTCTTTTTTATGTAACTCCCATATCATTAATTGGGAGTTACAAAATCAAAAAATCTCATGATTTTTGCTAATTTATTATTGATCTTGTGTTTTTATAATATTGATTTTTCTATCTGTTTTGAATTTGTGGTTGGTAGAGGAGATCCGTAGTAAAGTTTTCGGTATCGTTCAAGCTATTATGATAAACTCATTGTTCATAATGAAGGAACTATTGTTCACAAGTGTTCATATTGTTTTCGTATGTACAATAGCTGCATATCTCAACATTATATCGCTCCTGAATGTGTTCATAATGAATGAACTATTGTTCATAAGCTGTTCATATTGTGTTCATATGTACACTAGCTGCATATCTCAACATTGGYTCGTTCYTGAATATGTTCATAATGAAGGAACTATTGTTCACAAGTTGTTCATATTGTGTTCATACATGTTTTTTTATTTATTTCCTTTCGTGTAGCAACTATTCTTATTATGTTCATATTGTGTTCATAAATGTTATACAATCCAAGTTCAAATATAACAATTTTTGTTCGTATTTGACACAATGGTTCATATATATATATATATATATATATATATACTAGTGGTGTACCCGCGCGATGTAGCGCGGGTAAATCACAATTCGAAAACATTAGTTTGGCTTTGAATCATGAGTTTATGTGGTTATTTTACAAGTCAACTAATATATAAAGTTGAAAGTCAATTTTGTTTGTTAGCAAGATCAAATGAAAAGAAAATTGCATATATGTCGGGTTTCTGAAACCATCTACTCAGAGCTCGTTACAAAACTTGAAATTCTTGAATGAACAAAAAAATACAATCGTTCGTAAAATAATGTTCATCCGTATATTTAAACTGTTGTTTGCTTTTCATGATGCATTCATCCGTAAATATTTCCTGCAAAAAAACCATCTACTCAGAGCTCGTTACAAAACTTGAAATTCTTGAATGAACAAAAAAATACAATCGTTCGTAAAATAATGTTCATCCGTATATTTGAACTGTTGTTTGCTTTTCATGATGCATTCATCCGTAAATATTTCCTGCAA